TTTATTTATTAAATTTTTTTTGTGACATCTTTACCATAATGCATCCTTGCTGAATAAAAGTTTTTTTTTTCAGTGGGTAAACATGTTCAATAAAGCTAAACTGCATAGCAAGCAGAACACAGCAAGCAGAAGTCATTCATTTTCTTTGAGAGTTGGCAATTTAATGCCGTCTGAATGCCCCTTTGCATAACCAAGTGCAAAAACATAACATTATTGACTGGGGATCGGGAACAAGGCTTATTCTGGATGGCATTAAACCACAGTAAACAAATAAACATTTTGTCTACTCGAACCCAGTCTAAATCGTTTCCACAGATGATCTGCTCCAGACATCATCATAACCAGACAAAACCTTTCCAACCCGCTGTGTGCCCTGTGAGACTGGAAGACTTGGACAGTCTTAAACTGTCCCTCTCCAAAGATGCCTGATTCAATTTCCTCAGACTTTGCTATTTAAAAGAGGTGAATCAGACTTTGAAAAATCATTTCGAGTCCAAGTTAAACCTCAAGGCTCGATCCAGCCTGAAACCTAAGCATGCCCCACAATTCATCAGGTTTATAATTTAATCCCATGATTATGGACTTGTAATATGATAATATCCCCCATCTGCTGCTTAATTCACAACGATAAGCTATAAGAGATGGCTTTGGTTTCTATCAAGCTCCTCCAAGCTGCTTTTGAACTCAAGCACATTGCTGCAGCTCTGGATAAGTGGCCTCAGCCGCAAAGGCACAACCAAGGAAAGGAAAACTTGAAATCGCATCATATGACCCCTTTAAAATATCTTGTTATCTTATTAACAGAGGCTGCAAACTCACATCCACAAACGGGTAAAATTAGTTTTCGTTTGCTATGGCCCTGAAAATTCAAGCAGTGAAGGAAACACTAATGTTTAGAATAAATAGCGAGTAGTATTCTCTGATATGTAGGCTATTTGACATTGTTCGATAACAACTCGATGTTTCGAGATACTCAGAAACAGTCGCTCTTTGTTTTGATCTTGCCGACGCCATCAATGTAATGAAATTCATAGTGTCACATTTAAAGTATCGATTATGTGGCTTATGGGAATGTGGTTCATTCAGTTTAGGATGAGATTTTTCCTCTCATCTACAGCGAATTCTCATTAGTCATTGTAATAGCAAGTTGTGAGTTGTTAATGATGCTAATAGCATATGCAGATTCATGTCGGATGACCCACTGAGACCCTCCATATGGTCTCTGTCCCAGGAAAACGCCCACACAATAATGAACAATGATCAAGACATTATGGGACTATGGGAGTGAATTTATGGCTAATTGTGTATGTCTCAGGTTTTCTTTGGTATAAACGATTTGGCAGCAGCGTATCCCTCTTTGTGATGATACACACACAGAGAGAGACACACAAACACACACCTATCTTGACTGAGGCTCATACTAGTGTACATCAGTCAAGATGCTATCACCATTTTTGTGCCTTAATTTAAAACAACTGTAAATGGATCATCTACCTTCTCCTTGTACTCATTAACAACTGTCTGACGCACATGTGTCCCTCAGATGTGTTCATTGTGCAACACTGTAGACATGATTGATCTTCAGCCAGCATTACAGCACAGCTGTCATTAGAGAAACAGCACTGATGCTCACATCACCAGTACTGTAATAAGTCATTTTAAGTCATTGCACCCCAGTGACCCACATTCAAACAATAAGTCATCAGTCGAACACTATGACTATTTAATTCATATTACTATAAAGAACAATTAGAATTCATTACAAAACTCCCGTTACTATGATTATTAAATAAGGTACTATACATTTTTTTGTAACTATATAACTAACCATATTACTAGTTTAATTACTAGTTTCAGCAAGTCACTTTTACATACTATATTAGCAACCTGTTTTTATAAAGCACAGATAAAGTAACTAGGGCAGCTTAGTAAGCATTTTCTGTCTACCAACAGTGGCAATAAAAATGCTCTGTTTGTAGTGGTGGGTTGATTCAGTGAAAAATAATTTGTATTCATCAGTCCCTCATCACGAGTCTGAACTCTCCCACTCAACACACTGCCAGCGTGGGTTCATACAATATCCCACTGTCCACTGTCCTGTTCTGCTGTCCTCCGACAGGGTCATTCAGTAATGTAGCCTTAGTCTACATTCAGATAGATAGATAGATAGATAGATAGACTCCATGTGAGTGTGTGTTCTTTGTGTTTTTCCTCAGTGTTTAGCGCTGTTGTGTTTGGCTCTGTAATGCGCAGTCCTGTCATTCAAATCAGCGGAAGAAAAATATCTTTCATAACTTCCCCTCCTACAACCTTATTTTAAAGCACCACCAGAGAGAGAAATGTATGACCCATTTACAGAATCTGCGTCAACACCAGGAGCATGACAGTATCCCGCTGTGATCATAAATGCAACTCTCCATTACATAAATCTATAAACAATGAAAACATGAATCTACACATGAACATGCCTTACCCACAGTCATATCGCCTGGCAGTTTATTTTAAATGTGGTGACTCAATAGCTGTTGAATTTTCATACCAAAATGTACTTCATTTTACATTGAACAAATGTGCTCTTATCCATAAGCATTTCTAAACCATATACACATTTTTAGCTCTAAAACAGTTATATCACTAACAAGAAAACAAAAATTGTTTAGCTTTTGGTTATTGTTTAAAATGATTCTTTATTATTATTCCATCAATCTATTAATCAATTATTATTATATTATTATGACTAATTTACAGTAAGATCAGGAACATTCATTAAGTAATAAATATGGTCAAATTTGATTTTATATATGACCATGAATCATGATATTGCAGCATTTCATAAAGATAAAACTTGTTTGACATAAAAACAGACTGTATAGAACCTGAATTCTCCGATTGGAAAATGTTCAAAGCATTTTGGCCTTTTTTTTTTTGCATGTGCATGACAAACATGTGCCCGTTCAAAAGGTTTCTGTCCAAATGTAGGTTTGCTAAACCCTAAATCAAATGTTTTACGAATGTTGCAATTTTTTCTGAATTTGTTTGTAATATACAAAAAACATTATAGTGATGTTTCAAGGTTAATTATAGAAAATCTGTCATTTTCAGTGTATTTTCGCAACACATGGTTTTACTGTGAAATACTGTAAAAACATTTTGTGACTGTTCACCTTCAGTCTTCTCTAAGTACCAGCTGATGACGACATCAGCAATCATGATGACATGATTTAGTCTTTCTCACCACAGCCTAAAAAGTGCACATAATCATTATATGGATGCCCCCCACCTGCGGAGAGAATCTAAATTTAAACCGATGAAATGCAGTAACCCAATCCACAGCATTACCACTGTCTCCTTCGTGCATCATTTGCGGCCTTATAGATTTCAAATAAATAATGCACACTATCTATATGCAAACCGTATGATAAGAAAGTTGTGCTGATACTTACAGACGGGTGTGTCCGAAGAAAACACACAAACACACTCATCACACTGCGTGCTGTAAGATCCGTTCTGCTGGGCGATTGTGTGACTGGGCCTGGAGCCAGTCTCTGCTATGCCACGGTTGTCTCTTGGTCTCTCTCACTCTCTCTAAAAGAACATTTGCTCTGCTGGTGAGTTCTCTCTCTTCTCTATTGCGTTCTGTTCTCCAAGGTCAGATAAAAGACAATTGTGTCATGTGAATGCATTTGTCCCCTCCATATTGGAGATGATGAAACCCTCAGCAGCCTTTTAATGAACACACAACGCACATATCTTGGTAATTGTCCTTCGGAGGTAGACTAACCCACACTTTGGGCTAAGACACTTACCAGATGGGATTACAGGAAAGGGTGACAAAGGAGAACAAGAGGACAAAGCATGATGTCTGTCTGATGATCAGGTATACCAACACAAATAAAAAGAGAATTAACCTATGAAAGTAGCCTATATTGTGTTAAGACAAACATTTTGACTTGGTCACATCTGAAACAATTAACCAATGTGTACTAAACTTACAGAAAATTCCAAGGTTTCTACTTCAGAGCACTGATTTTAGCCAAACGGAAGACATCTGTGACATACTGTCATGGAGCGAAGCTTAATAGAATATTATGTCAGCCACTTCATATTTAAACTACACAAACAATATCTGTACAATACAAAGTTATTAATAAATTTATTAAAAACAACATTGATAATTACTACCATTACTGTTTACTTTTTTCTGTGATTTTTTGATGCATCCTACAGTGTGCAAAATCATGGCAATAAGATATTAAATAATTTAATAGATGTTGTCGCCCTCTAGTGACAAAGAGCAGAAAGACATTGATATACTCGGAAGATTTAATGATAAAAGCAGCTGAATCTGACTCTCTTTTTTAACTATATGTAAAATGTATTTAAAAAAAATGAAACTAGCACGCAGTAGATGCAAATACAATTTACCTCAATGTCTTGTTTGCAGAACTAGTTCTCCGTAGAACTAGCCACAGTCCGGATGTTTTCCCCTTTTAAAATTTAGGAGAAAAAAAAACATTTATAAAATATATACATTTTTATCAGAAAACACAATCATAATGATAATAAAACATAATTAAATGAAAAGTTCTGTGATTACTTGCACCCTCGTGTCGTTTTGTGGAATGGTGATGCAAAATCACTATAAAAAGTGGTTCAATGCAAATATTCATTCAGATCTTTTCAGTCAATCAGTTGATCCATTTCTCGACTAACGATCTGTCCCTTTCACAAAGCTAACAAATATATGCACACGAGTCGTTTGGACTACTTTTATGCTGATTTTGCATCTTGTTTGGGCTTGACATGTCAGCATTGTCGCTACTCGGAAAAGATCTTCCCAGAAATGCTTCTCCACACCAGCAGGTGTCCGTGTTGTTCCATAGCGCGCAGTGCCTCACAAACGAAGAATCTCCACCACATGTCAGCATTGTCGCTACTCGTAAAAGATCTTCCCAGAAATGCTTCTCCACACCAGCAGGTGTCAGTGTTGTTCCATAGCGCGCAGTGCCTCACAAACGAAGAATCTCCACCTTGACAACTTCCTGTAGAGCAGTAACATGTGAGAAAACGTGCCTTATTGCTATCGCACTGTTTACAGACATTCATATGACAAGATTTTTAATGTTATCGCGACTTGTATATAACAATATCTGCCAGAGTCTGTAATCAAGGGCGCTGTTTTAGAGACGTTTGCTGGCTGTGAAGAACAGTCGAGCTGAACTCGTGTTGAAAATGCCCGCAGTCACTTTATTTGTCAGGAGATTACCTGCAACAGCCACCAATGAAAACCTGGCTGAGGTTTTCTCTGAAGTAGGACCGCTGAAGAATTGCTTTGTTGTCAGGGACAGAGGTAAGATTTAACGGTTTTAAAATATAGTGGTTTGATTAAATTGTCAGTAATACAAATGATCTCTCTCTCTCTCTCAATAACCAGGTACCTAATTACTTGTCAAAAATAGTGGTCATCGACAATTTGTGTAAGAAATTGAGTAAAAAAAATAATACAAATATTTAATATGAATATAGATAAGACATTGAAATTGTTATACTCTTCGTTTAGATTAATCTCTGGGACAAGGGTCATAAATATAAAATCTACAAATAAAAAGCATTTGAAAACAACTGAAAGCATGATATAATGTTTTCAAAATTTGTTATATTGTGATTTTAATATAGAATACATTTTAATTAAAAACTAATCTCTGAGGCATAAAAGTATCTGTAGTTAAAGTAGAACAATACACTTAAGAAAAGTTGGGGGTCAGTAAGAGTTAAAAGGGTTTTTGAAATAAGTCACTTATGCTTTGATCAATGTAAAACAGTAATATTGTGAAATACTGCAATTTTGAAAGAACTTTTCTATTTCAGTATATTTAGAAATGTAATTTATTCCTGGAAGGGCAGTACTTAATTTTCAGCATCACTACTAATGCTGTGCTGATTTGATGTTCAAGAAACATTTCTTTTTATTATCAATCCTGAAAACAGCTGTGCTGTTTAATATTTTTGTGGAAACCATGATACATTTTTTCATTCTTTGAATGGAAAGTTCAATGAACAGCATTTATTTGAAATAGAAATCTTTAGTAACATTAGAAATGCCTTTACTGTCAATTTTGTGAATCCTTGCTGAATAAAAATTTATTTCTTAAGCCTGGTGACTCCAAACTTTAGAACGGTAGTGTATAGGCCTGTCACGATAACTACTTTTTGTTGTGCGATATATTGCCCCAGAAATAATTGCGATAAGCGATATTATTGTCATTTAAAGACCATTTTATGCCACTGAATATATAATCATAATGTAACCGCATAATAATGCAAGAAGGCCACACACTTCCAAATGACAACAAACTTTTAATTTTTAAGAATATTTAGATCATGGAAATT